AGTTAATCAATTCAAGTGAGTAATGCCTGTTGAGCGTTATGTGACTATACCCACGACGTTGGAGCAATCAAATTTTTAATAAATAAAAATTTGGTTGTTACAAACAGACCAGGGAACACAATTCGAAGCAGATCTGTTCCGAACTTTGACTGACCTGTTAGTAACCAAACGAATCCGCACTACGCCTTATCATCCAGCAGCGAATGGCATGGTTGAGACGTTCCACCGTACGCTAAAAGCAGTACTAATGACAAGACCGAAACATACATGGCTCCAATTACTCCCATCAGTTCTTTTAGGTTTACGAGTATCAATGAATGAAGACATAGTAGCATCTGCTGCAGAGATGATTTATGGTATCAACCTCCGTCTGCCTGGAGAATTATTTGAACATAATACCCAATCAACTTCGTCAACCCCTTCACAATCCTCCGGCTATCTTCTAAGGGGGGAATACTGTGACGGATATGGCAACCACAGATAATTATTAAGACACGGAAAGCACGATGGCAACGTTGTAATTTCACACGCAAAAATCATATAAAAGCAGAACACAAGTAAGCATTACTCTCTTTTGCATTCGAGCTGTCAGCGAACAAGGACACAAGAAGTTATAGTGGAACAAGTAAACCACATATATATTATATTAAAATAACTTTTAAGTAACATACCGCATTTACATCGGTAACACACGGAATACATCTGAAATTATTATTACAATTAACAAAAAAATAAAGAAATGTATTTATATAAAGGAAGAACATACACACCTTATTTATTCACTATTTATATATATTATTTATTGCAGTTTCTCTTGTTTGTTTTATTAATTTTTTTTTTTATTATTTATTAAATAAATATAAATTTTATATTTTATTATAATAACTATTACTGGCACTATATAAAAAACGCGCTTGTATTCAAGACAAGAAACTTCAAAGCATGAAAGCTTTGGTTGAATTAAATACAAAGCACGGCGAATTCAAGAACACACGAAAACACAAAGCACAGAAATTACACCTAGGCGAACAACATCAACAAATGACAACAATTATCAAAAATACATACGGCAAATGTACCGATGCGCTACAGGAAAAGCTTCGGTCGTTTGAGTATAAATAAGCGCGCATTGTACAAGCAAGGGCACATGTTGGGAAACTCTCAAAGGTAGTAATACGTCTTTGTGAAGCAAGTCAGTAGAACTATAACGTCAGGGTAGTACATACGTCTTGACTAGTAGTTTTGTATAACGTCAAGGTAGTACATACGTCTTGACTAGTAGTCTTGTATAGCGTCAAGGTAATACATACGTCTTGACTAGTAGTCTTGTATAGCGCCAAGGTAGTACATACGTCGTGACTAGTAGTCTTGTATAGCGTCAAGGTAGTATATACGTCTTGACTAGTAGGTATTCTGGTATAACGTCAAGCCAACGACTTTTTGTCCTACCCTAAGGATTCGCCAGAGAAATGTGATGTGTTTGTGAACATAAATACAACGCCTAGACAACGGCTAAGTGTACCTCAGCATCATCAGCGACAAAAAGTGTTTCGTTACAAACAACAATCGGAACAATTATTGAAGCACGATTATTCCCAATAATCGTAGTCATCAAAATAGCAAACTAGCATTATATTATAATTATATTAGATTGTAAATTTTATTTTAAATTCTCCTAAATAAATAATTGAATTACTAGATCACATTGTCTTTGACTTCCAAAATAAAAATTTTATTGCAACGACTCATGGACAATGGCTAAGTATACCTCAGCATCATCAGCGACAAAAAGTGTGTCGTTACTGTGCAGGTGGGTTTTTTATTTGTTACAATTGTAAAACTTGAAAATTAAATAAAATGTATTCCTAATCATTTAATATTAAATTGAAAATTAAATAAAGTGTACTCATAATCAAAAATTGGTTCTTCGAGCCGGATTATGTTTGAATCATATAGTATTTAAACCCTATTTTGTTATGGCAAAATAACCCTAAGCCCTAACCTCTATTTTTTGAAGAGGTTAGGGCACGTGCGTGGACGCCTTAAGGGCACAATTACTCGAGCACTTGCTTACGCAACCAGTCCTCCAAAAAAAGTGTCCTACGATGAAATCGTAACTAGGACTGACAAACTAGAAGATATTTGGCAGTAGGTTTTAGGTCAACGGATGAGACGTACGCGTTTCGAAATGTTCCTGACTACGTCGACCCTGATTCCGATTTCGCTGCATATGAGGAGAAGTACATGTCCACTCAAAGTTGCATGCTTGCGTTAAAACGTGGCCTTACACTAAATGTGCGACCTAAAGATGATGATGATATCATGAATAAGCTAGTGGAACACCAAGCATCATTTTTAAAACAAATTTCATCCACTTCTAATGTTTCATCATTTCAGGGAAATGAGTTACCTAAAATTAAAATTCCGCACTTCTCAGGAAAATATACAGATTGGTCAACATTTAGAGATTTATTCACTAGCTTTATTGACTCAAAGCAGAATCTTTTTTTATGAAAAAATTTTACTACTTGAAATCTCTATTGAAGGATGAAGCTGCTACTCTAATCAAACATATTTCAGTTACGGAAGCTGCTTACAGTACAGCGTGGACACGTCTACTGGAGCGTTTTGATCACCCTAAGCACATCGTCACGGCATTTATTGAAAACTTTATGGTGCTTCCATCAACATCGCAGGAAATTGTACAATTTTGAAGAGAATTTCTGATGGTGTAAACGAAACAATAAGGGGCCTCGACGCAGTAGGCCAAACCAATCGTGATTGTTGGCTTATCCATTTGTTATTATCGAAGGTTGACCCTGAATCTCCTCACAAATGGATACATGAAAGTCGAGGGGATGCTTCGCCAACATTCTCTGAATTTTTTGAATTTTTGGATTCTCGCTGTGAAGAATTAGAGTTGACCCAGTGTAAATCTAATTTAAATTTAAAACCTCAGGACGAATAAAATCATCTCTCGTTTCTGTCGACAAAGGGTTACAAAAATGTGTCAAATATAATTCAACTGAGCACAGTATACCTAAACGTAATGCATTTCTGTCGATATCTATCGATGAGCTCCGCGATTTTGTGAAAAGTCACTCGCTTTGTTTCAATTGTCTCAGATCGGGACATTCATCATACATATGTAATTCCAAATTTCGATGTAGAGAATGCCATAAGTGCCACTACATTCTTGTACACAAGTTGCAGGTTGATTCGCCAACAGCAATTCTTACGTCACAAATCAATACTCTTACTGTGGAGCAACTCAAAGACTTGAATATTGCAGATCCATTTTTTAATCCTTCATCACCGATTGATATTTTGCTTGGTTGTTATAATCTAGTATGTTTTGCATTAGTTTAAGCAATCTTAAATAATGAAATGTAAACAAAAATTTAGTTAAATATAAACTCGGTCATATTTACATCAGTTGGCGACGAGGATAAAAAGCTGCAATTATTCAATCGCTTTCACGCTTATTTCGTATTTCGATATTTAATATACAATCATGCCGGGCGAAAGTGAAATTTATTAGCAATTGCTTAAAGAACAACATGAGTTCTCAAAAAATTTGCTGAAACAACAACGTGAATGGATGGACTCAATGTTCTAAAAACAAGGTACTGCCGGTGTATCTGAAAGAAATCACAACATTATTCCAGTATTTCACAAATTTTCGAAAGAACAGCAAACCTGGGAATCGTACTTAGAGCAACTTAACCAACATTTTTTAGCATATTCAGTCCAGTGCATTTAAAAATAAAAATCATTTTTCTTGTCTTGGATTGGCACAGAAAATTTTGAGCAGCTAAAAAATGTTTTCGGTGACATGAAATTACAAGAACAATCGTTCAAAATTTTAACGGAAAAGATAACGGATCATTTCCAATCGAAACGACATGTGGTTGCTGCACGTTACGATTTTTTCAAAAGGGAAATGAAGATACATCAATCATACAGAGAATGCGTAGCCGATCTCCGCGGATTGGCAAGAGTGTGTAACTTTTCGTGCTCAGCCCAGAATTGTTTGCACAATTTCGTGGATGATATGATTCGTGACCAAATTATTATACGTACACCGCACCTTGCTGTGCGCACGGCTGCGTTCCAAAAGCCCCAGCCGACACTTGCTGATGTTTTGCAGATTGCAGAATTGTACGAAACAACCACTAAAACGGTGGCAACAATTAAAGAACAAACGATCGAAAACTCAATGCCTGTTAATTCAGTTGGTACAATTATAAAAAAACCGAGTGTTTTCAACAATAACAATAATAAAGTAAAATTCAAATCATGTTCTGGCTGTGGAAACTCTCATGCAAGAGAAAACTGTCAATTTAGAAATGCTGTATGCAGTAGATGTAGCAAAATTGGACATATTGCGCCAGTGTGCATGTCAAAACAAAACAAGAACAACAAACGTAATTCAGGTGATGAAAACAAGAAGAAAGATTACCGTCGTAAAAGTTACAACATTGGTACTGTTGAAACAATTAACAGTTTAACAGGTATTGTAAAAACTGAAACCAATAAGAATTACATTGACTTGGAAATTTGTAATAAAATTGTGTCTTTCCAAATGGATTCTGGTGCAACAGTTTCTCTAATATATAAGCGAACATTCAAAACTCTAAATTGCCCAAAGCTGCGAAATTGTACAAAAACTTTATTTGGTTTTGGCAAAAATGAAATTCCAGTGCTTGGTGAACTTTGCGTAGATATCAAATGTGGCGGAAAAGAAAGGGAAGTGGTAATCGATGTCGTGGATGCCGAAAACTGTAACAATTTATTCGGTTTCGATTTATTCAAAGAATTCGGGTTTGAGATTCAGCAAATTTGTAAGTGAATCACACAGAATTAGCGAGCTGTGTAAGAAATATGGTAATATTTTTGAACCAGCTCTTGGCACAATAAAAAACTTTAAGGTCAGTATTTTTTTAAAGCCAAATGCACATCCGAAATTTTACAAAAGCCGACAAATTCCATTTTCGCAAATGTCACTTTTCAAGAAAGAAGTCGATCGATTGACAAATGCGGGTATTTGGAAACCTGTGAAGTTTTCCCAATGGGCTTCGCCTATTGTACTAGCGTCAAAAGCTGATGGTTCCATAAGAATTTGTGGGGATCTTAAACAAGCAGTCAATGCGCAAATTGACATTGAACAATATATTTTGCCCATACATGAAAGTCTTTTCCATAAAATTCATTGCGGTCAACATTTTACAAAAATCGACCTTAAGGATGCGTATTTACAAATGGAACTCGACGATGAAGCCAAAACAATAATAGTTGTCAACACTCCGCTTGGATTATTCCAATACTAACGTTTACCGTTTGGAGGTGCAAGCTTTCCGGCTATATTCCAAAGATATCTTGAGCAGTTACTTCAAGGCGTAGAAGGTTGTGGAAATGATCTCGATGACATCATCATCTCCGCACCTACATTTCAACGACACATCAACCGCATTGAACAAGTGTTTCGTATTTTGCAACAAAATGGTATCAGGTGCAAGTAAGAAAAATGTTTCTTTCTACGATATAAAATCGAATATTTCGGGCGTCAAATTAGTGCAAAAGGTGTATTGCCAGATGAGCCAGGACTAAAAGCAGTCAAAAACCTGCAGTCTCCTAAAGATCTAAACCAAGCAGAAGCATGCATGGGTAAGGCAAACTGCTACCATAATTTTAAACCTAATTTTTCGCAATTATCCGCGCCAATGAACATGCTGCGTTGGAAAAATGTAAAATTCACATGGGGTACAGCACAACAACAAGCATTTATAGTTCTTAAAACGCATATTCTCAATTCAGCGCAATTAGCAGATTATCAGGAACACTTACCTTTGGTTCTAGCTACAGATGCGTCCTCCTATGGCATAGGAATCGTGCTCTTGCATACGTACGTTGACGGTACAGAAAGGCCTATTGCTTTTGCATCTAAAACTCTCGATAGATAGAGAAGGAAGGGCTAGCTATCGTTTTTGGAGTCAAGCGTTTCCATCAATATTTATACGGAAGAAAATTCACCTTGGTTACTGACCACAAACCTCTTGTTAATATTTTTAATCCAACTCATCAGTTGCCGTCGATGACTTCACATCGTTTATAGCGATGGGCTATTACACTAATGGCTTATCAGTATGATGTTCGGTATCCTAAACTACTGAACATGGAAAAGCCGATGTTTTATCTCGTTTACCCGTTGGTGAAGATAAAACTTTTGATCACGAAGAATCCTGTTTCAACATCAATGAACTTAACACACCTATCGACGCTGAAATAATTCGTCAGCATGCCAAAAATGACCCAATTCTTCGCCGAGTTTATTTTCTCATTACAAACGGTTGGCCTGAAAAGCTAATACCAGAAACAATCGTAAGTGACAATGATCCGCAATTTACAGCTGGAGCATTCAAACATTTTTGCTCAAAACTTGGCATCAAACGTATAACAACAGCGCCGTTTCATCCAGCCTCAAACGGGTTAGCCGAACAATTCGTCAGATCTTTTAAAACTGCTGTTAAGAAAAACATTGACGATAGATTGTCTCTCAAATTTTACATGGAAAACCTGTTCGTATCCTGTTGAGTCAACTGTTTGAATCGCATAGGATGTACCTTGAAACTTCGAAACGAAAAATGAAATTAAGTCTAAAGTCTTCGCTCGAAACTACGCAAGAGGGGAAAAATGTATAAAAAGAGTTATTGCGAAACAACTTGGTAAAATAGTTTATCGAGTGAACACATCTTTTGGTTCCATCAAACGTCACGTTAATCAGCTTAAAACTAGAAGTAGCTCTGACCTCTCTTCACAACCAAGTTTTGAATTCGCTCCCAATTTCATCAATGCAACACCGCCTTCATCTAGCCAATCAACATTAATGCCTAGTGAAAAACGTTCTACCGAAGTAGTTCAACTTCGAAAAAGTGGTCGTATTCGGAAGGATGTAAATCGATTTGAAGCCGACGATTTCAGGAAAACTTAAATCTTGTCAAAAATTAAGGGCGGAGAAAGTGATATAATCTAGTATGTTTTGCATTAGTTTAAGCAATCTTAAATAATGAAATGTAAACAAAAATTTAGTTAAGTATAAACTGTCAATCGTGTCGGTCATATTTACTTCATTAGTGTTGACCAAGTTTGAAAACTATTTACTTTTAATAAAATTTTCGACTCCTCTGGTAATCCTATTGCTGTATCAACAATATTCAGATGGGTGGTAACATCAGTTCACGCATCCATGGATAATGTAGTATCGTCTTTTGCAACTACGATTGATATAGATCGTTCGCTTCGAAAATTTTGTGAAATCAAAGAAGCCTTGCATCCGTTGCCATTAGACGCATAAAACGTTCACATAGAAACTCAATTTTAAAAACGCACGCACGACACTCTGACGGCAAATATATTGTGGAGCTTCCATTCAGGGAAAAAGGTATCGAATTCGGAAATACGCTTCAAGGGGCTACATTAAGGTTTAATGCTTCTGAACGTCGCCTACAGAGGGACAGTCACCTTCGTAAGTAATATATTGAGTTCATGCGTGAATATACATGCCTGGGACACATGCGGGAACTTAAGCCTGATGAGGTTGTTGCCAGTGATAGCCACAGATTTCAAATGCCGCATCATCCAGTAATTGGACCAAAACTTCGCGTTGTTTTTGATGGCTCATTTCAAGATACTAGCGGAGTTTCACTTAACAGTACGTTGCATACAGGTTCAAATATGCAACGAAATATATTTGATATTTGCCTTTGCTTTCGTATACATCTATACATATATAAAATCGTTTGTTCGTCTGCTCGTTAGTCAATAACTTTTTAAATACTTAACTAATCTTCTTGATACTCTCAGATCATATTTATATTGTTTTTCGGTGTAACATAGGCTATTAAAACATTCGATATTAGTTATAATTTTAACTTAAATAATAAATTTAATAATTTCCGTTTCAAACTGTCCGACAGTTTGAATGATACTGATTTTCTTTTTGTTTATTTTTGTGTATTTTTGTGTATATTGTTCGAACTTTTACGAAATAGCAGAAATGACAGATAAAATAGAAATTGTAAATGTTAACTAAAATAAACTGAAAATTTGTCAAAAATTTTTTTTTTAATAAATGCATTTATGTTATATAATAATGTTTAATTTTAATGAAATTATATTTTTCAATATGAAATTGAAAGAAATAATAATTTCATATGTTATTTAATTTCATCAATTTTTTATTATATATTTATTTAAAATGAAGCATTTAGAAGCTTGCAAATAAATTAATTGCATTAAATTGTATCTTATTAGTGTGTAACTTATTTTTGCATATTTAAATTAAAACGGTTTAGTAAATTGCTGTTGTAACGACACTTTTGGGTGACGTTCAAAAATATTTAGTTTTTGCTGGGGTATCCTCAGCCGTCGTCCAGAGTCGTGACAATAAATTTATATTTTTGCTGAGACGCAGTTTTAGAAGAAAAGAACGTTGATTTAATACCATATATTAATTATATATTTTATTTACTTCATAAAAGAAAGTATTCTAACAAGGTTTAATCAAATAATTGCTGAATAAGCTATTCAAACATATGATAAATTATAATTCCAATAAAATATTATTTTTATTTAATAATTAAAATGTGCATCATCGTTGACGACGATCACACAGAAATTATTAATGCTGTGGGTGAATATTACCTTAATGTAGATTCATGTTTTCTGTTCACTGTAGTACTCGTTGACGAGGTTTCTACTTTTAGCTTCGGTTCGTTTCCTAAGAAGACTTCTGGCAGGACAGCGTGACGTCGTGGGTTTCCCTCCTCCGTTGTAAAAAAAAAACGGTTACTCTGTGCTGTGGAAGATAATCATTTGGCCGAATGAGCCAGGTTAAAAAAATAAAAATAAAACATATGACAAAGATATTAATTTCTAACTACTTTGACTGAATGAGCCAGGTTTTGGCAGAATATGCCAGAATATACTTGTCTCTTTATGAGTGAAAATTTATGTCTTTGGTAAAATTTACCAGGAGGCCGAATGAGCCAGAGTACTTGCTTCTTCACTAGTCAAATCACAAGTCCCCTATCATATCGAATGTTCCTTCATTTATACCGAACATACCGGAGCTTTTTGGTGTAACGCACAGGTATTATTTGCTGTTGTTAACTTCGCCGTAAAAGTTGAACTATTCGTGTTATATTTTGTACTTCTCGTGTATTTTCATGTTTGCATGCTTTTTTTTTTTTTGATTTCGCCGGGGTTTCGTTTGTTTACTTCGCGTAGTTCCAAGTGTATTTTTAAATTACAATTTAATTAAAACTTTATTATTTAAAAATAATAAAGTATTTTAATTTAATAATTTAAAACAAAAGTACATTAGATATATATTATGAAATATATATTTAATATTATCTAAATAAATAATCTGGCATGCTCTAGAATTCGAATCCGCATAAAAAAATTCGATTTCAATTTAAATTCACATTTTGGTGCTCTGCTTTTTTCATTTCATTTGCGATTTTACAAATGAAATCGAATGAATTTGCTTGCTCTAGAAACCGAATCCGCATAAAAACATGTGATTAAAACCACATATCGAAATAGTTGTGAATTTAAAAGTAGTGAAAATAACATGTAAGTATAATTACATTTTTTTTGAATTAAATCAGTTTCAAGTTATGTTAATAAAGAAAATAATAATTTTGATATTTTATTTTGAAGGGGTAAACACAAGAGCACTGTGCAAGATGGAATCTTGCTAAGATTTATGGAGTTGCATAAGGAAATTGCAACTGGCTTTGTCAAAGGCGACAAAGTGGCCACGGACCAACTATGGGCAGAACTAACAGGAGAGCTAAACAGCCATGGTCCACCTAGCAAAGATATCCAGGGATGGAAAAAGGTAAATTGCATTTTTTTTTTATTCGTTAGCATGATAACTTTTTATTCATGGTAATACAATTACAGGTGTGGCTCGACTGGAAGGCGACTGTTCGTAAAAAGATTGCGCACAATAATTCAGAAGCACGGGCGACTGGCGGTGGACCATTCAACAAATATGTTCTTACCGCAGCCGAAAAAGCAATTGGACGGCTATGTGGCATTTTTAAAGTGGTCCGTGGTATTGAGAACACGGTTGAGTTTGGTCAACTGTGCTCAAATGGCGAGGATGTGTCTTCCGATGAGTTGTGCCTATCTTATATTGCTACCACTACCATTGGTGCCATTATTGCTGATACTATTGGTCCCACTACTGCTGGTGCTATTGGTACCACTACTGCTGATGCTATTGGTACCACTACTGCTGATGCTATTGGTACCACTA